CCATTTTCATCATATTACAGTGCACACATTAGCGGTGAGATGAAAATACAACCCTTACTCTTGTTTGAATTTGTTCAGTATTACTTTACTGTATTCTCCCTTCTTTATCACGTGCAGTTTGCTGTTTCTGAAGCACAGGAAGTTCTATATGATTGATTGAATTGATTGATTAAAGCTGTAGTGGGAGATGAGTGGGGTACTAAAGCAGCAGGAAATCTTCCCCCCTGCCCTTTGCTTGAGGTATTTCAAGTAATGCGTCCTCTTTTCTGAGAAATCTGACTGGCTTTCAGGCTGCAGAGAACGGGTTGCAGTCTGTTTGGCTGAGCGTCCCAGCTTGTGTTCATTAGGGTAAGGCTGGAACTCCACTGTTTCATTTTCAGCATGAAGATTTAAAAAACTGGGTTAAAGCATGGTTGTCCCATCTTTTGGCTAGCCTGAGCCACACTGAGCCAGTTGGAATTGCCACGGGCTGCATAGAAAATATACAATGAACGTAATGCATATAAGTAAAAAAACCTTCCACTGCTATGTATTTTTCATTAAAACATCAAAAATAGAGGGGAACAAAGGCATCAAACAAGAGGGATGTTTGACTGTGCTGTTGTGCAACTAATGCATCATGCAGGTGTAACGTACGTGTAACTGCATCTAAGGGAACATTCTTGCAAGGTTGAAGCATGGAATTCCATCCTTGAGATATATCAAGTTTTCTCTACACTTTTTCTTCTTTTATTACTGTCATTGTCACAGTAGTTCATAGTCTGTTTCAAAGTCTGTGCAAGCTGAATTATTTCCTTTTACTGCCGTGATCTTTGAGCAGTCTAGCTGTGCTGTAAAAAGCATGAATTAATCTGTTACCAGAGTTTTTTGATTTAGCTTACATTTTGCATCTACTTTTTAATATCCTTATTATAATATTACTTATAATATCCCGCTCTTAGAGGACAACTAGGGAAGGCTGTACACTTCTCTTGCTTTTTTCTCAAATTTACAAGGAAAGCACTGTAATAGCAGATATTCCTTGTGATATGTTGAGGTGTATTTACATCTGGTCATACATGTAACTGATTCTAAGGGAATATTCTGGAAATGCTGAAGCATGGAATTCCATCCTCTTGTATCAGAAAGAAGAAACCTTTGCCTTGTCATGCTGAGAGCAGAGAATGTCAGTCCCACAAAGCTGGGATGAGATCTATGGAACTAAACGACGTGGCCCGCTTCCTCAGTTGTAGTGGCACTCAGGAGACAAGGGTTTGTTTATTGATTTATTGGTTGTGCTTCTGGTTTCCTGGAAGGATGCAGGCAAATCCTTTCACTTCCTCGGACCTCAGTTCCACTGCCTGTAGAATAATTATGCTGATCTTGTTCGTCAGCGGTCCTGAAATCTTCTCTTGATGATTTCTGGATTGCTAAATTGCAAATTTCAGGCTTTTTCTCTTTCTTTCTTATTGTATACAGGAATCCTAATGGGGAAGGCCTGGCTGAATGGCCATTGCCTAATCTAAATGAAGAATGCTTGGAGATAAATCTAAGACAAAGGAAAGCCAGAAAGCTGAAGGAGAAGAAGGTAGACTTCTGGGAAAAGGTGATGTTTGAAAAGCCAACTAGGAAAAGAATGGGAAACAAGAAAGCTCATCTAGAGCTATAATTTACTGTCTAAACATGCATAATAGGCATAGTATTTAGGATCGCAAAAGGAATTATGTAAAATACTTTTGAGGACAAAATAACGTGTCCCTTCCTTTCACCTTTTCTTTGCAGTTCTCCTATTTACCCTTATTCGCTGTAATTATGGCAGTGGATCGATTTCCACTTTGTGACCCTTTGCTTTTCCCTCGGTTCCCTCTGTGTCCACAAGAGAAGCCTCCCCTATTAATACAGTTAACAGATCTGTCTGCTCCTCAGGCTTTTCTGCAGCTTTGCCATTGCTGAGGAAGAATCTGGCAGCAATGTTGTGTTAATCGAGTTCAATCAATAAAGAGGTGTTTTGCAAGTAAAACTGTCTTTCTCGTGTCAGAGATACGTGTGATGCCCCTGAGGTTTTGGTCTGATTCACACACAGAAATGTCCTCTGAACTTTTTAAGGACAGTTCTGTTGTGTGACTGAGTTTTATAACTGAGATAGCAGTACATTTCTGACGGTTGCAGTACCTCGTCTGGAGCAGTGGTGCAGTGCTGGACTTCAGATTGCTCATAGATCTTAGGAAAGGAGAGAAACAGTCTCCGCTGCCCTGAGCTTCTTTCTTTTTAATGAGCAACAACTGCCTCAGAAGGATCAGGCGTGGTAGCATTAGCTTTGTGCTTTCTGTGTTTTCCATGGTGCTTTATTTACACGGCGCTCTAGGCTGCGCTCTGTGCCGTCTCTCAGTCCCAGTGTCTCTTAGCACTGGGTCACAGGCCTTCATTACTGGCACTGGAGAGAGACTTCATTTACCGGAATTACTCCAGTGCCCATTTCAGCTTGGACTGCCAAGAACAAGCCTGGATCGCAGCATTTCAGCATTGCTTCTCATGTGTTACTCTGAGGCTGCTCCAGCTGTCCCAGCCGTCTTGCTGACCATTCTGCTACCTTCCAGCAGCATGGTGCAGCTATGTGGAAGGTATGGGCGCTACTCCTTTCTTTCCTTCCCTTGCCTGTCTTTAATCTCCCTTCTGTAGCTCTGCAGGAATGTAAGATTGTTCCCAGCTTCTCATATCCTACTGTTACTCTCCGGCCATCTCTTCTTTCTGAATTAAAAAAAAAAAAAACAAACACCTAAATAAGGAAGCGACCCCGCTTTAAATGCAGATTTCTGAACATTTCTACCCTATAGAGTTGAATCCAAATGTCTTTGTGGGCTCTCTTTTAGCTATGTGCCCATAAACATGAGGTTTGTCTCTATTTTTCAGCGATTGAAATCAAGACAGGTAGCAGTGCATTAGGGTGCGGGAGGCATTGTTCACTGATTGAACGTAAACTGCAAAATGCTCTCCATTAAAATGAAATGCCAGGCAGCATCCAAGAATTCCACTTCCCAGCTATGTAGCACTGTTTCCAGATTCCACTAGTTTAGTTTATGCCACTTAGAGTATGGGTCTCCACATTTGCAGAAGTCTAAGTCCAGTTGCTAGATCCTTCGGCCTGGTAGGCTTGGTAGCCAAGGTGGTAAAGATCTAGGTCCAATCTGTTTATTTTATTACATGAGTGAGATCAGCAGAGTGTACAGATAGCGTTTGCACAAGGAGTAATTTCAGCATGGCTGCTACCTTTGGCTTCAAGTTGGATATCATCTTCTTTATGGATGGGATGAAAATGGGGTAGGGGTTCAGACATTTTGCAGAATGTGCACATGAGCAGAAAAAAGAGAGTGCAGCAGAGAAAGGTGGAAGAGTAAAGCTTGAAAGGCAGAATAGTGAATGAAGGGGAACTGTGCCCAGTCACTGCCTGAGCATTCCAGTTTAGTTTCCCACGTTTGCCCACATGCATTGGGTGTGGAGTAAAGCATCTTTTCTGAATACACGAACAGAGCTTTAGCACAAGGGACTACTGTGTGCTTAAGACATTGTGTAGAACTACTCTAATACTGGATTTGGGGCACACAGAGCGGAAAAAAAAGTGAGTCACTAAAATAATCTACAGAAATGCTGTCTCTGACAACTGAGAATTATTTTCATGACATGTGATTACAAAACAGGCTTACAAGGGAAAGATCTATTGACACTGGCCAAAAAAAAAAGAGAAAAAAGGAGAAACAAGAGAAAAAAAAGAGCCAGGAAAAGAGTCAGAGCCTGGAAACAAAAATCAAACACAGCCACCTAGTTACAGAATGGCAATCTACTTCTATTCAGCATTTCTTACTGATAGATGCGAGTTCACGTGGAAGTAAAGCCTCCTGATGTTTCCGTGGGATTAAAAGCGTTCCTACCACTCAAATTGTTGCATACGGCTCCTGTACTGCAGTTGTGGAGAAAACCTCTCTTAGCTGTTGCAAAACTCGTGTATGGTGAGATACCAGCCAAACATTTCTGAATGCACAGGACTGAGTGGCGGGTGGAGTGCTGACCCTGCAGGAAAAGCTAGGATCTTTCCTGTACTGCTTTTGTCAAGAAGTGTGCATGAGTAGGAGAGTTTTCCGGGTCTGTTCTCTGTGTAGTGAAAGTAAGTGCTGACTTAATTGTTAAAGACGGCAATGGTAACGGTTCTGCAGCAGCAAGAATCTGCTGGTGTTCTGAGGACTGCTTCCAGTGCTTCTTTAAGCAAATCCCTGCTGCGTGAAGTGCTGTGAAGAGCAGTTATAAAGAGCCCTGGGCAGCTGGTGTGAGACTTGTGGGGCCGTTCTGCACAGCCCAAGGTTCCCCTATTCCCATGTACAGATAAGCTGCATTACGCTCCCCTTGGAGCAGTGCCATGCTGTCATGACAGTTGTTCAAGGCTGGTCCCGGCCGATTCGGTTCACAGCTTGAGCACTGCTTTCCTTATCCCTGTTTGCATTGCGCAACAGCTTTACTGGCAGAGTATAAAGGCAGCGCACAGAGTCGATCAGGGTGTGAGTAGGCTGCAGAGTGGCAACTGAGAAGAACATGCTGCTGTCCGTGATCCTCACCGCCGGGCTCACAGCACTCGTAGCTACTGGTAAGCTTCCAAAATGTTTTTCACTGTTGCCTGCTGCGAGGAGTTAGAGTGCGTGTGCAGTTTGCTTACCCGTGGGAGTCCCAGCTCAAAGGAGGCCTGAAGTCCCAACCCTGCTGCACAGAGCTGAGGTCTGAACAGCAAAGAGCTCTTTGTTTCTTTCTCTGGTCTGCTTTCAGGCATTTTCCCCCTTTTTTTTTTCTTTGGTCTCATTTTTTTCTCACGTGCAGCTAGCAAAACTAAATTCCTATTGCAATATTTTATAATAATATTTATTGGAGTCAGAGATTCCAGTATACCACGTTTGTTGTTTGACTCTGATAAATTTCACTCTGAGATTAAAGTAAATCTTACCTGAATGTTTGTGCCATTTGTGCATGCGTGCCAGACTGTTTTCAGGTATGGTAGAAGGTGTTTTCTGTTTGTCTGTAGGGTCTATCGAGATTCCCAAGTGTGTTTTGTGCACTCACAGATCCTTTCCTAAATCAGGAAATGCCTTTTCTTTATGAGGGCAATCCGGTGGACTTTTAAGTAACAACAATCCTCAGCCGGTTAGTGATGCGTGTGGAGAGTAAGCACGTTACATGCTGCAGGCACGGTGTAGCTGAGGGAGATCATAGCTGGGAACACTATCAGAATGGAGGCTGAACTTCAGTCAGCTCACAGAATCACAGAATCACAGAATCACCCGGGTTGGAAGGGACCTCAAGGATCATGTAGTTCCAACCCCCCTGCCTAGCAGGGCCACCAAACATACACATTCAGATCAGGTTGCCCAGGACCCCGTCCAACCTGGCCTTAAACACATCCAAGGACAGGGCATCCACAACCTCCCTGGGCAGCCCGTTCCAGGGCCTAACCTCTCTCCTAGTAAAGAACTTCCCCCTAACATCCAACCTAAATCTTCCCTCCTTCAACTTGGATCCATTTCCCCTAGTCCTGCTCTAGCGATTAGCGTTTGTTGAAGGCTTGTGTTTGAAAAGGAGTTATTGAAACCAAGAGCAGGTGTGCATTCAGGTAGGCAAAGCTCTTAGAAAGCTGTCAGTTGCTCACTAGGAGACCAATCCGTGATGTGATGTTGTGCACGCCCCCCCCAGGGCAAAAAGCAGAGCAGCCAGAAGTGGTGACCAAATACGGCACTGCCCGAGGATACCAAATCAAAGTTGATGCGGCTGAGAGGAGCGTAAATGTCTTTCTGGGACTTCCTTTTGCTAAGCCTCCTGTTGGACCACTGAGGTTTTCTGAGCCCCAGCCTCCTGAGCCATGGCAAGGTGTCAGAGATGCCACTTCCTACCCACCAATGTAAGTAAAGCAGGAAGAAAAGCTTTTATGTTC